GGTGAGAAGGCAACAGTGGTGAAAGAACAGGTTAGGGATTGCATAGACAAACTGGACATATACAAGTCCATGGGGCGAGATGGGTTGCACCTGAGGGTGCTGAGGGGGTTGGCTGATGAGCTTGCAGAGACATTGGCCATTATCTTTGAAAATTCATGGCAATCCAGAGAGGTCCTAGATGATTGGAAAAGAGCAAACATAGTGCCCATATTATAAGAAAGGGTAAAAGGAGGATCTAGGGAACTACAGACCAGTCAGCCTCACCTCAGTCCCAGGAAAAATCATGAAGCACATGCTCAAGAAATCTCGAAGCACTGGGAGGAGAAGGTGATTAGAAACAGTCAGCATGGATTCACCAAAAGCAAGTCATGCTTGACCAACCTGGCTGCCTCCTATGATGAGGTGACTGGCTCTGTGGAGATGAGTGGATGTGGTATACCTTGATTTTTAGCAAGGCTCTTGATACTGTCTCCCACAGAATTCTTGCATGCAAGCTAAGGAGTACAGGCTGGATGAATGGGACTGTAAGGTATATAGAAAACTGGCTGGAGCATCGGGTTCAGAGGCTTGATGGGTTGGCAGCTAGTAACAAGTGGAGTGCCCCACGGATTGGTCCTGGGGCTGGTTTTGTTCAGTATCTTCATCAATATCTTTCAGCTTCAGCAACCTGAAAGATAGCATAAAGTGCACCCTCAGCAAGGTTGCAGATGACACCAAGCTGGGGGGAATAGTAGATAAGCTGGAGGGTAGGGCTAGGATTCAGAGTGACCTAGACAAATTGGAGGATTGAGCTGAAAGAAATCTCATGAGGTTCAACAAAGACAAGTGCAAAGTCCTGCACTTAGGATGGAACAATCTGATGTACCAGTATAGGCCAGGGGCTGACTGGCTGGGCAGCAGCTCTGCAGAGAAGGACCCTGGGGGTTACAATGGACAATAAGATGAATATGAGCCAATGGTGTGCCCTTCTTGTCGAAAAAGCTAATGGCATACTGGGCTGCATTGGCAGGAGTGTTTGCAGCAGGTCAAGGAAAGTGATTCTTCCCTTCTATTCAGCACTGGTGAGGCCGCATCTGGAGTACTGTGTTCAGTTTTGGGCTCCTGACTACAGAAAGGATGTGGACAAACTGGAGAGAGTCCAGCAGAGGGCAACCAAAAGGGTGAGGGGGCTGGGGCACATGACTTACAAGGAAAGACTGTAGGAACTGGGTTTATTTAGTCTAGAGAAGAGGAGACTGAGAGAGAATTATAATAGCAGCCTTCAGGTACCTGAAGTGGGGTTCGAAAGTGGATAGAGCTGGCCTGTTCTCAGTGGTGGCAGATGTCAGAACAAAAAGCAATGGTCTCAAGGTACCACAAGGGAAGTTTAGGTTAGATCAGGAAGAATTTTCTTACTAGGATAGTAGTAAAACACTGGAACAGGTAACCCAGAGAGGTGGTGGAATCTCCAGCCTTAGAAGTTTTTAAGGCCCGGCTAGACAAAGCTTTGGCTTGGATGATCTAGCTGGAGCTGGTCCTGCCTTGAGCAGGGAGTTGGACTAGATGACCTCCTGAGGTCTCTTTAAACCCTAATTTTATATGATTCTATGATCTTTGTGTAAGAATTGAATAATTTTATGTAGAATTTATTTTGTAACACATGGTGTCTTATAGAATATAACAATTCTACTTCTTCTGAACCTTTACCAAGAATACTGACCAACAATAAAGCTGCATGATTCTCTTAAATCTGACAGAGCAGTTAAAAAATAGACAAATTAGCCGAAGGTATATCTGTAATAAATTCTGTTTTTCTTTGGTTTGGTTAAAATTCAGAATGTCAGCCAAACTTGGCCAGTTTTGGAATTTGTTAAAAATTCCAGTCAGTTCTGGCCATAGTGTTCACATATCTGATTCAGAAACCACAGAGTTCTTTTTAGAATTGAGGAAAAATTGGTGCCGGATTGCTAAAAACCTTCTTCTAAAAAAAAGTGGAAATTTAGTGCACTATCTTGATGAATTACTTATAGGGGAGACCATTTTCTTAAAAGATAGAGGGCTAAATTTCAAACTTTTTCAGGAGAATGTCTTGCATTTGAGAGCTTGTCTAATTCTATCCCAGCTCTGCACCTGGTCCAATAAAAAGATATCACCTAAATAAGTCCTGGCCTCTTGCATAATTCCTGGACCAACGTGACTACAACATCCTTCTAACACTAGCAGACTTTTTCAGAAAAAGTTTTGAACTATCAAGCATTGTTTTGTTTTGTTTTGTTTTCCCCTTCTCCATTCTAAAGAAAATATTGTATAGGCATGCCATAAACAGCTAGAATTCTTTGGGATCTGCTGAGGAATTTCTTGACAGCTATTAGTACCCAAGTCACCAACTTTGCACTGAATTGTAGTCCATGACACAACTGTCACATGAAATAAATAAATAAATACCATGGGAAGTTTGTTTGTTTTTTCCAAGAGGGGTGTTCGTAGTGGGGACAAAGGGTGGAACTAAAGCTTCCCTGATGTTACAGGAAAGTAATTTCTGAATCAGAGTGATTGATTTAGAAGACGTTACTGTGTATTCTATGCTCACCGTCTGCCTTTGGCATTAGTAGCTGTTAAGGGTAGTCTCAGTATTACTTAATATTACACATCAACTCAATGAGTTAAGTAACATACTGGGCCCCTGGGTGTTGTGCTGATTTACACCATTTGAGGTGTGTCAGCTGAGAATTTAACTTGCTTGAATAAAAGTAAGGTTTTTCATTTCTTGGTACTGATTGTAGCTTCCCTGGAAAGAAAGAAAATGGTACACAGACTCTTCTGCATTAATCTTTGCAATAGTAGCTTTTGAGGACTTGAAATGCATCTGATTACAAAACAAAAGATCACAGGAAGATTACTCAAAATGCTTTTCTCCCTTTGCGTGGAATGATGAAAGCTTATGGAAGAATTGATTAGAAAGGGGTAGGCAGCAGTTTGGGAGAGGAGAGTCCTGCAAACTTGGACTGCATTTTATTTAATCAGTACAATAATAATCCTGTGCTATAAAGCTATCACCACATTTTGGCTGCCACCTTTATTGAACCCATTTAAAATACCTTTCATAAAAGTGCATTACTTGGCTGTCTAGCGTTTTTCCAAATGTTCTGCATATACTGCATATCACCAACCCATCTGCTTCTTGGTTAAACTGGAAGAATTTCAGTTTCAAAGCATAGTGCTTAGACACCTCAATTTTTCTTTTAAAAGTAAGTACAATTAAAAAGGTTACTGCATTTTTGCAGTTTCAAATGCTGAGTGCAAAATATGGTATGTTTTAGTTAGTGGGATCTCATATTGCTTTTTATAGTCACATTGAAATAGCATACATGCAAGTGGTTTGGATACTATCCAGGAGGAATCAGCCCAAGGGTATATCATTGGTCTCTATCATTCCTTCACTATATTTTTATGTTTTTTCTCACTGTTGAATAATGATGAAAGGGCAAAGCAGGCTGTATTCAAAACACACTGATGTTAAGTAATTGATGTTAAGTAATTCAAAGCACATATTGATGCAAACCAATGAGGGGTTTACCTAACTTCTGGTTTTCTGTTCTTTTCTTTATATAACTATCCTTTGCCAAAGCATTAACACATTTCAGACCACTAGGAACATCATTTTTAAAGGATCTGAGTATAAGTCTTTAAAATGTAAACGTTCACTAATAGTGTCCTGCATCCTGTCTATGCTTCAAGAATCTGGCCACACCTCTTTTATCTATGTCAGTCAAATCTTAGTCAAGTAAACTTGGCAGATTACCATGAAGATCAAGTTCTAGTGAGGAGAAGAAATTAACAGCCCCATCCAACTGGACCCAAAAGAGTTAACTTCATTGGGTATCATTTTATTAGGTACTAACTTGCAGCCCTTTGCCACACAGACATTTTTTGAGGCAAGGAATTTGATTACATGAGATCCTCAGCTCTGAAATGTGTTCCTCTATTTTGATCCAAAATATTCCACGCGTCTACCCTTATAACACACTGCAAAGTCTACCTGTTTACCTTTTGGAGAGGAAGGAACATAGTAAGGAATCTATTTGGGGGTGGGGGTGGTCATTAATTGTAGTTGTTGTCAGCCTGGGAATAAGGAGTAGCTTCTAGTTTTATTTTTCATGTCTGTTTGGCAAAGGTACATGAGTAGGCATGAGCTTTCTTGGGTTGTTTTTTTTTTTGTTTAACATAATTCAAAATTGCATACATCAAAATAAATAAGTACTTGTGTGAATAAGGATTGCTTAAGTGTCTGATTCTACCATGCTTTTATAGGCTGTGTATTGCCTTAGAAATGTCAACTCATAGTAGTAATTGGTCTTAATGATGATAGATGTTGACCAGGTCCTTCAATTTTAAAGCAATCTGAAGCTAATTTTTTTTCCTATTTTATTTTTAACTTAAAAACAGTTTTGAAACAAATTCCGTTGCGAATGTGAAAGCAAAGACTGGAATTGCTGATGAATTGTGCAAATGTCTGTCAAAATGAATTATGTCATTAGGTATGGAGAAGATAATTTGGAAATAAGTGTTCAAGAATAGGCACTATTTGAAACATGCTGGCACTGAAATGATGACAAATCCTCTAAAAATATAGAAAATGAATGAGGGAGATGCAAGATCTAACAGGAACTTTGGTAAACCAGGTTTTGTGTCATGGGTATATCTTTCACCCTGATATTTGCATCCTAATCTCAATGGTTTACAAGATGACTTGATTTATTTGCAATCTTCTATTACTATAGGAATCTTTCTTGCTATATGACACAATCATCTTGATAGAATAATAACAGCAGCTACTGACTCTCATAGGCATTTTGCAGACCACTGAAGATTAATATCTGGAGAAAAGGCTACATATTTGTGCTGTCGAAATCTTCAGTTCTTCTATTGTGCAACAATAGCAACAATCTCATTGTTGACAATGAGTGCAATCTCATTGTCCAAAACAGCTTATTAAAAGAAAAATAAATCTCTCTTTTCAGAGTTAAAGCAGCAGAGGAAGTATGCAGGCAGAAAAAAGGGAAATCACTTTACAATATAAAGCCAAAACATGACTCTGGAATTGTAAGTGGAGATTCTTGTGTTTATCTTAATAATAATAATAATAGTAGTAGTAGTAGTAATAATAATAATAATAATAACGTTAAGCATTCCTTTTCTTTTACCATTTTACATGTACCTTTTCCTGACATCCTTACTTACTTTTATTTATTTTCAAACTTGTTGTCTGGATATAATATGTTCATAGACACTGTCAGTGTGACAAACCTAGTTACTGAAATTTTATATTTATGCAAAGAAAAGGTATAGCCCAGGCAGTGGCAGTGCTAATTTCCTCCTACTGCCCTGCCAAAGACACCTCTGTGGGTGAGATGGTAGTTTAGTCTTCAGGTCTTCTGAAGCTGCAGAGCATGAAAGTGGTAACACTTTTTTGTGGTGTGGATGGCTTTATCCAAGGAACAGGGTTACTAAAGAGTTACTAGACACCAGTGGCTTTTGGTCAGACCCAGTTAGGTTTGGAAAGTAAGACTTGGACAGAAAAGATACTTATACTATTATTCTCTTGAGCAAATACAGTTCATACCAACTAGGCCCTGTTCTTGCAGATACTTATTAACTTACATAATTTGAAGCGCACCAGTCTTATTGATTTTAGTGCACTAACTTGAATGGTTAAAGTTAAAAGTGTTTTCAGGATTCTGACTTCTTTTAGAGTGGCTGGAATTTTTCTCTGGTAGAATATCTATCTGGCTCCTTCCATTAAAAAAAAGCTACTGTATTGTTGCCTACCCATCTGTTTTGCAATACTTCAAAATGAATGACTATTTCCTTAGTCATGATCTCCCCCCTGCCCCAGAAACATGATTCAGATTATTTTGTATTTAATGCTATGTTATAATGATTATGTTACAAAGGTTACTATGACATGTGACACATATCCTTGAAATGAAACGTGTTGTCATTTACCATAATCTAGTTAGCATAATCTGACACAGGAAGAAGGGGAATTGTTGTTATTGTTTCTTATTGTAGCTGCTTAGAAAGAACTGGTGGTGGTTACTGCTACAGGAAATGTAAATGGAGTAACAGTTCAGCTAAGTCTTAGTTTACAAACGTTATTTGTAATAAGATCAAGATGTAAGTTTAAGAAAACTTGTTGGTTTGAGGGTTTTTTCTGCCAGTATGTAAAATCAAAATCTTATGAATTCATGGTATTCTTTCAAACTCTACATGTATTATACAAAACATTTATTATTACTATTTGTACTTTGATAGCACCTGGAGGTTGCAGTTAGAAATAAGGTTTCCATTGTGTTAGGTACTATATGTACATGTACATGCAAGATATAAATGTGTGTGAAGAAAGCTATTTCTATATACAAGCACAAGATAGTCATCTTGCAATTTTAAATCTAGTTTGAGCTGAAGTGATTTTTGAGGAGGGGAGGCTGTTTGAGGTTGTCTTTAGTACACTTCTATATGAGATATAATTGAAAGTTAGCCTAATTTTGTGCTTTACATATTTATATCATTCATAAGCCTAATGATTATAAAATAAATACTAAGTTTTTCTTTTTGGTCTTTTTTTTCAGAAAGCAAAGATAAGTATGAAAATATGAGAGAAGAAAAACAAAAAACTATTGCCACCTGTTTAATATAATTCAGTATGTCAGGGGGATGGGCGAAGGAAACTACATCATTCAGATCATTTGTTTTCTTGATCTTTTGAATTTGCTTTTTATTCTCTCTCTTTTTTTTTTTTTAACTAATTGATGTTACTGTACATTCATGAATGAATGTAATCACTGTAATGGAGTGCCCAGCAATAGACTAGTTATGGACTTGAGACATCTTCCCTTTACCCTGTATCTCCTTTCTCACTCATACCATGAATCATACAAAATATCTTTTTTTTTCTTTTTGTTTTTAACACCAGTAGACCAAAACAGCATGCATAAGACGCAGTATCTGCATCAGTTCAGAACATGCTGAAAATTACATTTAGTTGAACTTCATAAGCATACTACTTGAAACAATAAAACCGTTTCATTCCTACTGGCAACATCCATCTAACACAAATACT